TGACATAATATTTGCTATGCATATATTAGTCACTCTCAGGCAGAAAACTAAAGCAAAATTTCACATTATTTTTAATAGTATGATCAATTCAGTCACGTAAAAATTTAAAGTCAAGGTCCCTGAGAATGATAATTATCCATCTAGAGTACAATAAATCTTTGATAGGGTTAAATACTTGTTATCCCCACATCTACATGCATACAAAAACATAAAGTATCATTATCTGAATAAGCTTTTATTACACTAAAAAAATCATTCAGAAGCAACAAGTTATTACACTAACAAGTCAACTGGTTTGGCTCTTTAACTCTTCTTTTGTTCAAGAAATCAAAATCTTTCAAGAACAGTTAAAAGAAAGAACGATATAAAAGAACTTACCCCAAGGTATATTTTTTCCAGTGCTCCTCTGTTTTGTGTAAAGGGTACAAGAGTTCAAGTTGTTATTGGCTAGAAGGGGAAGGGAAATGCCACATATAGCCAAAACAACATGTGCTCCTTCATTCTATTTTCCATCTTCAGTAGAGTTAAAAGTGACAAGCATTTATTAGAAGGCTTTCTAATTCTGCTCCGTTTTTTTTCAAGTCTAAGTTCCTAGAAAGATATACATATGGAAGGAAAAGGTAAAAGGCTAACAAATAAAAAGGCATAAAGCTAAACTTTCTCAAAGAAAAGAATTCATGCAAAGAAAAGTACCATATTAAGCTCTAGTAGTGCAGTTTAATATAATGAAAGCTCTCTCATACTTAGTCAATCAATAGACAACCTACAACATTAACACCTTGTCTCATTTAGACATTTTACAAAAATTTCAAAAGCTCTAGAAAGAACCAATTTGATAAGTGATTGTGTTAGAAAGTTAGATTTCTAAGGCTAACAGAATAAGTCCAAGGAATTGGCCACAACTAAGCAAAAAGTTTAGGTGAAAACCATGCAATGCTCAAACTATTACGACTTGCAATAAAGAGATAATTATCAACATGTATGGTGCTAAGAAATCTAGTAGAACAAGAAAACAAAGATGCAACAATGAGTAAATAAAGGTTAGGTAAAAAAACATTTGGCCTTTAAATTCAATCAATTGGCATGATAGTTGATAATAACCAATAGCATGGCTAATCATCAACCTGTCAAAAAAGAACACCAACGGGAAAGAAAAGAGAAGGAAGCAAAATATAAATTAGTAGACAATATAAAATAGAGGAACTTGAGCTCAGCAGCAAGGACCAAAGACAGACTGATAACTTCTTACTTTCAATAACTGTCTCTATCGAAGTGCAGCAAGGAGAAGAGAAGGAATGATGCCCTCCACTATCAAAAAGATTAGCGAAGCAAAGGAAAACGGTAAGTGGCAAACAAACATTTGAGTTTTGTAGTCTCAGTCGTACAAAAGCTTGATAACTTCAATAAGAAAGTTTACCTTGTTCAATTATATAAGCAAATATAGGTCATCAACAAAGAAAATGAAATTTTACTTGCATAATACACAACGGCTGCAAGTCAAAATTTGATAGATGTTCCTTCCTATTATACTTTAATTTCCATTCAATAATTCAACTATTTGAAATATTTGAAGAAAAACATTAAAAAAAGGTAGCCAAAGTTCCGATGAGGCTGGCACTTCCAACTCTGCCGATCACAGCAAAATCGCAGAGCTAGTGTTGCACAGGCTAAGAAACGAACGAGATTGGTGGAGGGAATTAAATATAAGATAGGTATATATCTTTACTACAAAATCAGATTGCCCTCGGCGGAGGAGATGGATAGAAGATGGTATATGACAAACAAAACCGATAAGGTTGGCACTTCAAACTCTGCCGATCACAGGAAAATCGAAGAGCTAGTTTTGCACAGGCTAAGAAACGAACAAGACACAGTAATGGAGATTGCAAAGCCTGCGCGCAGCGATTCTTGCACTTTGTCCAGAACACTTAGATTTAACTACTTCGCTAAGAATGAGCAAGAACACAGCCACCGCGCGGACAGCCGCAAATCGAAGGCCATGCAGACAGCTCATAGCGGCAAACTCACCGGCCACAAGAAAGCCACGCGGACAGCATCGAAGTTCCAAAGCCATGCAGACAGCTGATAGCAACAAACTCACCGCCCACAACAAAGCCACGCGGATAGCAGGAAATTTCCAGCAAAGCCACCACCACTGAATGGCAAAAGATCAAACTGCCCCTCAAGCTCACACAAATCACGCTATAACCGGCCCATTTTCACTGTAGCTAAGCCAACTGACGCTTTTAGTATAGTAAAGATTTGAAACCCACTTAAAAAATATAATATTAAAAACTTATTTTGGGAGAGAGAATACAATTTTATTCCAAATTTATCCTTTTCTTGTGATTTCTTAATTATCATAAAACAATAAATTTTATCTCCTAATTTTTGTTAATTGATAGATATTAGTTCTTTAATGAATTAAAAGTTGATAACGAGATCAAAAAGTCTTTAATAGTTTTTTGTGTCATTGGTTCGAATAAAAAATATTAAATTACTTGAAATTATGAATGATTTACAATATTCTTTAAAATAACTTGCAATAAATTATAACCATGAGGATACGTTTTTGCACCAGTTTAAAAAACAATACAAACAAGTTTATATATAATTTTTTGCATATTGTATCTTTTTACTTTTCAAGCCATCGATTTGGAAAAAAAAATTAGAAAATTCAAAAATATGTAAAAAAAATTAGAAAACTTCAAATGAAATTTCAAATATTAACTTTTGATATTTAAAATTTACACCTTTTTTTTCGAGTTAGAATAAATCTTCATATCTTTTGTTTTTGTTTTTCACTTGTTATTAATATACTCATCATTTTGGTAATAAAATGTAAGACAACAAAACCGTAAATTTGGAATGAGAATATATTTATCTCTCCCAAAATAAGTTTTTTAATGAGAGAATAAGGCAAGCAAGATTTTTTTAAGTTCAAAGATACCAAGTAAAACTGTGAGAAACATCAGGGGGGATTTTGAAATTATCTCTAAGATTTAATGATCTTTAAAATGGTTGACGAGAACATAATCTGATCTAATTTTGCTACAGTCTTCTTACCTTAGGAAGATGTAGAAAATATTCATTAATATCGACTTTATATACTCTTTCGTTTTGAAATGCTTGGCATTGAGAATTCGACTTAACAAAGGCTGGTGGCCACCACCTAACTTGGTGGGGTGGGAACTAAGGGTTCAAACCTTGCCCTTCACAAAAAATATTATATTTAAGTGATTTGTTTTAAAAAAATTCAGACGGGTGTGTTGTGTACCCGCCTGGTCCGGTGGTGGTTCAATCCTCTCCGGGTTATCCTTGGGGTTTCTTAAGTCCGCCCCCTCCCCCTTAGTGTAGAGTAAATTAAGTTATATAACTGTTGTCGTCTCCGAAAAAAAAATTAATACTTTTGAATTACAAGAGCTTCCAATTAAAATGACAAATGCAGTCACTTGTTAAAAGTACAAAAAACCAAGGACTCGGTTTATCTTTTTTTTTTTTTTTTTACTGACGGAGTGGGTTTTTGGATCAAGTTCGTAAAGACGGCCCGACTAATCCCACTGCGCCCCGATCCAGCGCCCCAACCAGACCTAGTACGTTAAATGCACGGAGGAATCGATGTTGCTGTGGAGGTTCGACCCCAGGACCTGACGGTCCTGAGGACGAGGCGCCAACCACCAGCCCATCCACGTGGGGGCACGGGACTCGGTTTATCGGTGCACATGAAATTAGTCCTGCAATTTAATTTATGTAAAGAAATTAAAGTACCACATTACTAGCAGAGAGTACTACTACAATCCCATTCATTCAAGCCACCACGCCCCTAATATAACCACATTTGACTCTACCGGCCGAACCCGCCATCAGGTCTTCCCCAAAGATGAACCCGCCACCTCCTTTCCCTCCTTTTCACCCTCCCCACCACCTCCCCCACCTTCACCACCACCACCACCGCAGCTCCCGACCTCCCCACCGCCCTCTCCAATCTCACTTCTCTCCTCCACACACTCAAGCCACCCTAAACTCCCTCGCTTCTCTCCTCCCACCTTCACCTCCATCCGCGCCCTAATCCCTTGCCCTTTTAACACTAACCACCGCCTTCCCCTTCCTCCATCTTCTCGCACTACCTCTCTTGCCCCTCATCCCGAGCCCCCTGGACCCCCAAGCTCTCCTTCACTCTCTGAACTACCCCAAAACCCTCCATTCTTCGTCGGAAACTCCTTCACCCAGCCCCTCCAGAATCCTAGCTCTACCGAACTCTGCTTTTCGCTAGAAAACTATTTGAATTCACCTCAAGAAAGTCATTTTTATTCTAATTGTCCTGGGGCAGTTGTCATTACTCCTTGTAAATACGATTTTTCATCCTCTCCACCTCCTATGCTCACATTGCCCGGGTTTTTATCCGCGGAATGTGCTAATTTTACACACGCTAATGGGCGTTTAGATGATAAGGGTTTTGATGTGTGGCCCATTAGGCTTCTCCCTTCGGAGATTTGGGCTGTTGGGAATGAAATTGAGGCGTGGGTTGATTATCCTTGCTCGTATTCATATAGAGTGCTTAGATGTATTTTGAGGTCGTGGAAGAGTAATTTGTCATTTTTGCACCCATGGATTATCGCGAATTCACCCAAATATGGCGTGGTTATTGATTTGGCAATGGTCCCTCATATACTCTTATTGTTTAGGTTTTGTTTGAAAGCTGTCACTAGGGAAGCTATTGGTTTTTTGGATTCTTTAATTAGCAGCAAAAGGAGGATAAGATTCATTGTCCGGTTTTAAGTAAAGTAATGATGTGGTTAGGCTCCCAACTTGCTCTGTTGTATGGTGAAACTGATGGAAAGTTTTTGGCTATTGGCATGTTCAAACAATGTGTTTTGGATTCAGCATTGAGCTCTTCATTTTTCCCTGTGGCAGAGATATCCAATGAATCCGCTAAATTGAATGAACTGGATGATAAGCTTGAAGGGCCAGTTGAAAAGTGTGGGAAGAATGAGGAAATAGCATGTGCATGACACTGTTCAAAGCAGCATGATTTTTGCTTCCCAGGTAGCTGCTGCTACTGCTTCATTGTACGAGAGGTCTTGGCTTGAAGAGAAAATTAAGATGTTAAGGGATACACGGCCACTTACTGCATATCAACGGTATGCTGCTGTGAATTTGCTTGAAATAATTAGCTTTTCTATTTTGTCAAACTTATGATGCTAATAATAAATAGGATGGAGCTGTAAATGTGTTAGAGTGTTGGTTAATTTGGACCATGGCTGTAGATGTGTGTTTTAGCTACTTAAGATTTTGCTGTATTTGCTGGTTCTTTGCCTCTTTCTCGAATAAATAACTAGGAAATTACATGGTTATTTACTTGGGAGGTGGCAGACAGTTATTCACTTTGGTTATTCAAATGGGTTATTTATTTTGGTTGTTTTTGATAGACGTATTTGTCAAGTGAGACAACATGGAAATTTGTTAGCACTTAGTAGCTAATGGATCTTGACGTTAGGCGGAAAGAGGCTTGAGAACCTTTGTTCTTGACTTGATGTTTCTTAAAATCCTTGAGACTTGACTTTGTAGTGGAACTATTTTCAATTCTTTCAGATCTCAAATTTTCTCTAGGTAGTTTAGATTGCGGTGATAGAAAATATTGTTGTATGATTAGATAACTACTTTGGTAGAAGCTGTCTATATAGTTGCTAATTTTGCCCTGTGGTTTTTACAGTATGTGCTAGTAAATACTGTAAATTTCATTCCAATTTTCATTTTATCTCATCTTGTTCTTCTTTTTTCTTTGTGTCTTCTTTGAATGAATCTATTCATGAACTGCATGTGGAAGCTTCTTAAGGAGCTGATTTGTTTTGTAGAGCTGTAGAACATGAACACATATCTAGGAGAGCTGATGAGGAGCTGCTGAAACGTTCTGACTATAGACCTGTAATTGAACATGATGGGGTACTCTGGCAACAGGCACATAGCGAGGTAAGTTGGCTAAATGAGCCTATCAGTTAACATAACTGTGGTAGATTGAATTTAAATTGTTTTAAGATATTAGCCTTGCAACTATAGTAATATAAATATTGACATGTGAAGGATGGATCTTTCAGAATTAAAAGATGAATTTCAAATAACATATTGTCTTTGATGGCCAAGACAACTTCTTTTGCATATGGAACCTCATTTTAGTTTATCTCATGAAAAACTTTAAGCATTGGAGTTCTGTTTTAAATGAAATTTTGAGTCCATTTGGGAGTCTGATAATTTTTGTGCTGTTATTTGCATTATTCTTTGTTCTGGGAGTGGGAAGTGACTTTTTTTTTTTTCAAATACTGCTTTTTATTAAGTCAAATTTAGAAAATTTCCAACTTGACTACAAATGATGCTGCAATATCCCTTAAGCCCCGCGCATTTTATTGGTTCTTCCCTACTGGTGATGAGGCAAGTTAAATTTATCTTTTAAAACAAAAAGTTTGCTAACCATTTGGATTTCTGCTGGTACTTTGGCAAAGAGTGTTATGGCAACATGATGCCTTTCTGTGTGTGCTTATTGATAACAAGCTATTCTGTTCTTTATGTGCATTCTTCTTCTTAATATTCTCAGTATATATGCAGGAGCCAAATAGAGCAAAAACAAGAGAAGAGTTGCTGGCTGAGGAAAGAGATTATAAACGACGTAGAATGTCTTACCGTGGCAAAAAGATGAAACGAACAACAACGCAGGTAAAGCACAGATTAGGTCCAGCATGATGGTAGTTTTGGTTTAGATTTCTTTGATAAAATGTCTTAGATAGACTCTTTTGTGATTACATGATGCATTTTGAGGCTCACTACCTCCCTCATTAAAAGTCTATGGAGATCCTGGTGTTCATGACCTGAGGGTTAATGTTTACAATCCTTTAGCAGGATTTAATTAATATTTCCAAACATTCCTCGTTTGAATTGAAATCGTCAATCAAGTTAGTTTGTGTTGTAGTTATTGCATTATCATTAATGGAAAATTGATAGGTTCCTTGTTTGAATTGAAACCGAACTTGACGTCAATCAAGTTCGTTTGTGTTGTAGTTACTGCATTATCCTTAATGAACAATTGATAGGTTTGTCTTTGTGAGCTTAAGTTATTCTACTAGGGTGGCTTTTGCGTGTTGACATGACACTGACTGTGATGGTTGCTTTTCTACTTGTACTGCCTTCTTGGTGGTGTTTCTTTTTACAGTATTCCATTTGCACACATTCCATCTTTGACGATGCCAAATTGGTTATCCTTCCTTCAGGTGATGAGAGATATAATAGATGAATTCATGGATAAAATTAAGCAAGCCAGTGGTCATAGTTTTCCAAAAGATGGTGAAAACACAGAAGCAAGGGCTTTCGAAGGTTCTTCTCTGCACAACAGTTCTTCAGATACTCTTAAGCCTAGGAAAAGTGAAACAAAACTTGAGCTGATCAGAAATGAACAACATGTTTATGGAGCATCTTTACATTCTAATCATGCTCATGGATCCATACATTCTGAAGATAAGTATATTGAACATTATAAGCAACACAAACGTACTTCTCAGCGGCATGGTGAAAGTTTAGATGACAACAGAAGTACTAAAAGGTCAAGACATGACAGAGAGAGTTATTCCAGAAGCCCAGATCGACAGCGAAGTGGCTACCATTTGCATGGTTATACAAGGAATAGAGGGAGCCGAGATGATCCTGAAAGTTCTAGGGCAGCTATCTCCAGAAGCTCAGATACAAGTCGCAGCAAGTCAACTGAGCGAAAGACTCGCCGAAGAGAGGATGATGGGCGTAATTCAGAACTTAGAAATAGAGACAGAAGGAAGAAGCACAATGATATCACATCGGGTTCAGAGTTTGAGGACAGATATAATCCCTTGGAATCGCATGATGATTATGATGATGATGCTTAAACCTTGCAGCTATTTTATTGATTCACATCTGCAATGCTTGGATAATTTGAAGCAGTTCAATGTCTTCCATGATGGCTTTCCTGAACTATCTTTGAGATATTGAGTGGCTCTCTTGGTAATTTGGTAAGTTATTATTAACAAAAGATAATTTCCTGTTTAGTGTTTCAGGCAGCCAGTTAGATTTTTCATTTCCTCTTTGGCTTTTCAATGATGGGGCAGTACGATTTCTGACAGGTGTTGCAGTTTGTCCACTCCTGTATCCTCTTCTGTATCCTTAGTTGTTAAAAGCTTTCTGGACATCAATTTTCTTCTGAATGCATGGCTTTAGTGTTTCCACATGCATTAAAGCAAATATTGTATTTCCTTGCTTCTTGGTCTGTGCGTTCTGTTCATTTGTGCGTGCTCATCTGTCATATCTATTTATCTCAGTATGACATGCTTCTGCTATTGTGAATTTGGCTAATTACAGGTTGGCAATACCTTTAGTTGGATGAAAAGGTGCAGAGTATTGTGTGCGCTATGAATGTGTAGCATTAGCATGCTGGTTTCTGAGGTTTGTAGGGGAAGGAAGAAAGTGAGGTCTTTCTTCTAAGCAAGCAAAGCTTGCATGGTTTGCGCTACTTGTTTATCATTGTCTTGCCATCCTTGATTGGTTGCATGATGTTTACCAGCCTTGTTGTATTTACTGCAAAGATCTTGATTGTATATTTAAAAGTTCTGAGCCTCATTTAGATCCTTAGGTTACATAGGCTGAGTCCTCGTTTTTTATTTATTTTTAGTTAAATTGTTTTGGTTTATAGTCATTCCAATCCGAGGGATAATTGACAAAGCGACTTCATTACTAAGGGACGTGTAAATTCACAACTGTTGCTCTTAAGAAAATCCTCTGTCTCAGCAGCCCTTCACGCCAAAATATGAAGACAGCCAACGAACTAAGCCATATTCTTTCTTTCCCCTCCTTTTTTACTTCTAAATCTCCAACTCTGTGAACGATCTGATGCAACTGATAAGCCTTCCAAATCTGGAAAATATCCGTTCTCATGGTAGTCTCAATGGCTGGAGTAACATTCTTCCTCAATTAACCAAACCAGTCATCTCCTCCTCCTCGCTCATCTGTAGCGCTGCTTCATCTTCGATAAACCTCGGAACCACCTCGGACTCTGCATTCCTCTTCTGCTTCCTCTGATCTTGCCTTCTTCTTTCCTCTCTGATGTTTTGACAAGAACGATGACCACTGCTTCTCCACCGCTATGTAAATAATAATCCTTGAGGGCATTGTAAAGTCTGTACGCACACCAGTGGTTGATACTGTCATGGTATACAACAAGATATTCAGATTTCTGTAGTAGACAAGCAAACTGGGAGTGGTAAATGCAACTTTCATATTCTCCCTCAATAGCAGCACGATCCGACACCACCAAATCATCCTCCTTCAACCGTAAATTATCCACCATTCGCTGGCTTACCTCTTTCGACCCACAGGCAGCTCCTGCGAATGCCGGCGTTAGAGGGATGAGGAGGATATCGTGCAGCGACGCTTGAGCTGATTCAGTTCCCTGCCCCTCTCAGAAAGCTTATCTGAGCCATAGAACATTGGAAGCAGAAGTCTTATGTGTATTAATGTTCAACGCTCCTGTATGGAAAAAAAAAAAAAAATTCTGCATGTATTTATTGTACAGAATCTGTGCAGCATTAATACTAACTTTCTTTGCACGGATCAAGGTGGAACCGTTGCTTGCGCAAATAGATGATCTAATTAAAGTTTGGCGAATTCAGATATAAATCAAAGAATAAAAAAACATATTCCCGAGAAAGAGTTAATCAAGAAGAACCAAATCCCTAGTTAGTTTGTGTTTCAAGTGCATGCATGCTTCACAATGAGGTCCATAATTCTGCTTCTATGATACTCCCTCCCTTTTTTTATAATTGACGTTTAAGGTTTTGCACACCAATTAAGAAAAGTTTTTCATTGTTTAAATCTATACACTACTTTCCTTTTATACTCTCATTAATTGTCCAATTCACTTATGTTTTCTCTCACTAGAGTATTAAATGGTGCTGTTTTACTAGGCCAAAAGCAAAGAGAGAAGTAATAATTACTAGGAGTAGTAATTAAGAGTCCTGTATTGGTAAAGAGAGATAAAATGGCAAAATTGTGAAAAAATAATTAATGTTACATGGGAATAATACAACAACAGATAAAAGTACTTAAGAACAAATTTCTTAAACGTCAGTTATAAAAAAAGAGAGGGAGTGCAAGTCTTGGTGTGATATAGTAGGAGGATCTGTAAATTCAATGGTGCTTGTGAATTGTGCCTAATTAATTTGGAGAGAAAGGTGTAAGAATACACACACCTAACACACATTTAAAAAATTTAAGGAGGAGGACACACGATGAGGTCCACATCCACGCAAGGACAAGACCCAAGCTATAACTAAAAGTGCACCAGCATTGTAGGACCGAGCTGTATAGTTTTAATGGCGTTTCTGGCTGATTGGGAGTTCACTTCATGGATTGCCGCCGCCCATGTTGGAAGTTGGAGGAGGAGGATGGGGGGTTTTCTGGTTCAATCTCCAATGAGAATGATTGGGCAACTTTGGAAAGGCAGCGTCAAAAAAATCGTCCACTGATGCTGGTGATGATGATAGGTAGAATCTTCTTAGCATCAAGAAAGAGGCAACAAAATACCTTCGCTTCTGACACTGGTGTCCACTCTGTCTGGCGCTGCGAACTGTCTTTTTTCCAAATTCTGCTTATCTGCTACGTGTAAGCCCGTGTTAAAGTTGGAAGAAGTCGGGAGATGTCACCATCTCCGAGAAGACATACAAGCACGTGTAGAGCTGCACCCAATGAAACGAATATAGTAAACTCTTGCCTTGTTCTATTATCACCACCACGTTGCTTGTCGATCTATCTAATATCTATCTGTTGCTATACTTTGACTTCTACTCTCAGATGGTTAATTAACCTGGAGGTCGACAAGAACAAAAGGCAATTAATAGAGGGCGGGGGATTTCCTCCCCATCACTTTGATGCCGAAATTAACCTTCCAAGTGTTAGAAGGGCTCTCGACAGAGGAGAATTGAGATGACATCCATCGTTTGTAAATAGAGGGCGGAGTTATTAGCCATTGAATCCAGTGTCCGTAGATTGTAAACATTCCTTGTTGTTTGTTCAGCACTACTTATTATCACAGTGCATCAGGTTGATTTAGGTCTCGCATCAATCGGTCGCATCATGCATATCTATCTTTTTTAGGCATCTCAAATCTATTCTGTATATTTCCGTCAAAAAATCACGTCGTTTTCCGTAATCCCGTTTCTCTATTACCTTTTCTCCTCACATACATCAAATCGCTACAGTAATTTTTCCATGAAAAATGCAATCCAAACACAACCTTAAATCTTCTCGATACAATTCGAGCCCAAGGTGTTTGTCGAGGTTGCGGTTTGGGTCCCACATCTAGCATAATTAAGGTTTCGTTTGAGCATTTTTCTTTTACGATTTCTGAAAAATATTCTATACACACATTTATAGTCGCATTTTTATTTTATACGCATAACATATTAAAAAATTTTTTATAAATTTTATTTCTAAACTAGTGTTATATACACACCGACAACGTATGCATTAGCCGGTATAAACGTACGTCATACATACATGCAAGAAGTGAAGTTTAAATTTGAATTAAAATTACATGCCATGCATCCATACTCACAGTTAGCACATACATACACTAACATCAGCACGTACAGCATCAAGTCAGTAGCGGATCTAAAGCTGGTTAGACGTTAAAATGAGAAGCCGTCCTAGAACCGAATGTTACACGCGTTTGGAAACCAAAATAACTTTTTAATTGTATAAGCCGAGTACCAAATGAGGGTCAGTTGGGTTGGTTGCGTTACAGGCGTAGCGACAATATAATAATTGTATCATGCGGCATGGGTCGCTCCCTCATTCGCGGACGTCCGTTCACCACCGTCACCACGAAAGGACGCATGCCATTGCCAAGTGCCAATTGCCGTGCACATTCTAACATTTTCCTGCGCCCATCTGATTCTATTTCCTTCTTTGATGAGTTTCTCTTTTACATGGTCAATCGAGCAATTTAAATTAGAACAAGGCCGACCTTCACACTTTTAGTAGCCACCAAGCTTTGGCTCAATGCCCGCTAAAAAAATGATTTTATCTCTTTTTGAATTGTAGGTCGTAAGTTTGAATCTCACCTGCAGCGAAAAATCCCTTTAGTCCAGTCGAATCTGTATACTTGTTGATTTTTTTTTTTTTCCATAAAATATGATAGATTATGATATAGAAATAAATTCAAAAGAGATGTCTGAAAAATTGGGTTATAGGATGAGATAGATTAAATTATGGTTGCAGAGGAGGGGTTCAAATCTCACCTGTTTTGAAAAAAAATTTAAAAAAGGTGGCAGAGCGCACTTCTAGTCTAATCGAATCTGTATAACTACTAATCCATTGTACAGTCTCTTTAGCCTCCTCCTCCCTATAGAATAAAATAGATTATGTTATAAAAATATCATCGTTGCGCGGGAGAGGGGGGTTTGAACCTTAACTACTTTGAATTTACTTTGAAAAAAATTCAAGGAGGTATCAAAATATCCCATTCATCTATCTCATCTATATATTTGCTAGCATTTTATACAGTCTCTTTAAATTCCTCCTCTTACCCCGTACACAGATTCTTTAGATTCTCCCCTCCTATAAAATATGATATATTAGATTATAAGAATGCTATCACTACAGTTAAAAGATATATATATATATATATATATATATATATATATATATATATGCTAATCCTCTCATTTCACGTGGCTTTCTCATGGAATATAAGTTTGGCCAATTTTCTTGCCTCATTTTATGATTACAAAAAGTGTCACTTCAAAGTACTTTAGTTTGTCTTCCACTCACATTGTGACTCCCATGATGATTCTTTGACTCGCATCCGAGTAAGGATAACAAATTTCAGCCATGGGATTTCCGCAAGAAGTTGTTTTTAAGAACAGTAAGAACATGACAAAGATCCAATTTCGTAATCATTCATTTTTTTGGCTAAATTTAAAAAGAAAGGAATTTTGTCTTTGCTATCCATTTCTAGTTACTAATTCATATTAATTTCAATAATTGGAAGGGAAACAAAAAAAAAAAAATTGTAAGCCACTAAATCTGCTCTGTGTTGAAAGGTTAATTTGTGCTCTAGAATTAATAGAAAAGGACAGCACCATTCAGTAGTACTGTAGCTTTCAAGTCCATGCATATAAAATATGAAAAGAAGACAATATAGGCACATCCTTTTCTACGTTTCCTAAAATTACATTAGTGTTAAGAGACATAAAAGAAGCATAATAATAATATCCAGTTTTCAAGATAAAAGAAATTTTATCATTCAATATATATATTTATCCACGAAAGGTTTTTTTTTTTATTCATCAAAAACAAACAAAAAATGAAAAAGAAAGAGGGGTAGGAGGGCAGTCTTCTTCCTTTGATAATGAGAGTGAGGTATAGGACTGGGGTATGGTCACTCTTTATTCTTTAATTCTTCAATCAAATAGTAGACAATTAGTAAAGTTAACAGACCAATTTTTGACCAATCAAATCCCATGATGACCACTACATTAGTCTAGAACTTCTCATTAAAAAAAAAGAAAGAAAAGCAGTCACATATCACCCCTCAGCAAGAAATTGACTCGTATAATCCAATTATCATGCACTAA